TTGGATTATATAGCTTCTGGCTAGAATTTTAAATGTTTATACATTAAACTAATTTGTGCATCATGCTATATGACGAATTTATTTGACAAATCTCTTAATATCAGACACATCATCGAAGAAAAATAAATTAAGATAGATCAGCGTGTGGAGGGTCGCAACAAGCGGGATATAAATTATAAATGCCCTTAACACATTCTTCTCTTGGCCATCTTGTATTAGGAGGGAAGAGAAGAGTCGAAGCTCCTGATTGGTCAAACAGAATGCGATTTGGTGTCTTCCTGTCGGATGCCAGAGTGGAATGGTTTAATCTAAAATTGTACACATTAATCACTGTCTACCATTGTTCGGTAGACGTTAATTTAATGGAATTAGTCTACATTTCTGAACGAGAAACGCATTTTCTCTCGATTGCCACTCGTCGTTGTTTCAACTCGTAAATTCAAAAACCCGTTTAAGTTATTGAGGAGAAAAACTGAATGGGGAATACCTCACACAAAACGTAAATAGGTATGTGAGCCATTATATATTAATCGTAATTGATGAACCATTCTTCGACTATCACATTTTAGTGTTCACACAGTCGAAAGATTAATCTCCTGTTTTATCTCATCCATTAGGAATTTTCGCTAAGATCTGATAATTTGTCGAATTAACAAGGAAAATAAACACACTAATGTTCAACCAGTTAATTATTGTTTCTAAAATTAATTTATTAATCTTCATGTGTGAAAAGCCTGTGTTAACAGAATAATTTCAGTAATTTTATTTTATTTTTTTCCTTATGCAGTTCCCGATTGAAAGCGGTTAAGAAAATCAAGATAGAGGACAAAAGTGGATTAGGATTGAAACCAATCAATATTATTCCGTCCAGTTTTAATGCAAGCTTCTTGCAAATAAAATTACCTGCAAGTTTTAATTAACGAATAAAGATTTCTACTAAATACACACACGCACACACACACATAAAAAGTTGATCTTAAATTATTTCAAGCGCTAGATTATAGAAGTTTCTTACAAGTATATACTCGGAATAGAAAGCAAACATTTATGATAGCATCCACCTCATCTAACATCTTCCATTCTATTTCATTTTATGGCACATTCTTTATTTCCGGTTGAAACCTTTTAACGATAAAACTTTGCTTCCAGGCTACTGTTTTGCTGTAGAATGCAATTTCCTATTCTTAGTAAGTGATTTGCAAGACCTTGTTATCCAAAAAATCCAATCTTCTTCCAATTGGTTTGATTTGTCGTCGGGGCGCGAAAAAAGCTGTTCGTTATTCTAATGGGATTTTGTAATTGAAAAAAAAAAGTTTACGAGTGATTTATTTCCGATAAAAAAAAATTAAATTAATATTCATAAATTTATTATTTATTCCTATTAATACAAATTACTAATTTTATGACGAAAAAAAAAACTCCGAGAAGATTTAGTAAATAAAAAAAAATTGCACTAGTATAAAAGAGCTAGGACCGTATAGGGCGCCAAACGTGATGTTTACTGTATAACAGTATATAGTCATCGGTTTTTCACAGCGAGACGACGTCTAGGCTTTTCACGAAGCAGTAATAGGACAGGCGGGCGCCATGCAGCACGTTCTACTTCCTAGTTTGGCGCCAAAACATTAAAAGTAGGTATAATACTGGCGACTATCAGGTGACGTCCACCTGAACATTCGAGCCCCTGCAATGATAATTTCTCTGTAGATAAGGATAGTTGTGAGGTGAAGATACATTCTCAGGCGTCCAGGAAATCGATTTTTTTTCATTTCTTATCATTGAATGTCAGTGAACTTGAGAATGCGAGATGTCTTAGATTTTGTTATGTAGTAAGTCTGGTATTGATTTTTGAGTTGTAAATTATATTTTGTGTATAAATAATATTGCTGTCTATTAAATTTTATAACCGACAATATTAATATAGATATAAAATAGTTTTCACAGCCAGACGGTTAAATTAAAAAAAAAGGCGCTATTTATTTTTCGATTTTTCCTTCATATTATAAAATTATTTGTGTATATAAACACAGTTTTAATTTAGAATAATAAAAAATTGAATTAAACAAATTCAATTGTACGTTCTTTTTAAAATTTAATCGAATTATTTAAATCGATTTTTCTTTATTTTTTTTATTTTTATTTTTTTTTTAAATTTTTTGCAAAATTTTAAATGCATTAAATATTCTTCATTTAATAGTTAATATAAATATTCTGCAAATATGCAATGATATTTATGAATGCAATAATTTACGATGCATATGTTGAACGTTTGCAAAGTGAATCTTTTAAAAAACACCCCTTACCAACAATCATACAGTTTTATGTCCCGTATGGATCCTTAACACTTACTGTACGGGTTTAAAACGAGTTTATAGATAATAATTTTTCAAGTATATAACAGAAAGAGATAGTCTTACCTGAGGAGATGGCGATACGAAAGAAGGTCATCCAGTCAGGAAATCGCTGATTGTCAAAGAAGGGCAGTAAATGTAGGCACGAACGAACTAGCGACCTCTTTGTTTGACCGACAACCTATTACTGTGCCGGATTCACAGTCTCTACCAAACACGTGACGCAACAAGAGCGGATAGATCTTTTCGCAAAGTGACTCACAGCCCCTAAAAATGACATGCGCAGTAAAAGGGACGCCTTCGGCATTAGAGTCATGGGTCTGTTTGTTTCTTTCATTGGAGAAACCGGTGATCTCATATTCGAATATGCACATGACTAAAACGGCCTACTTAATTATTTCTGCGGGGTGCTAAACATCGTTGCATCCCTTTAACTTATCGGTCAGCATAAACATTATTGCTATAGATAAGAAACGAGAGGCCCCTCGCCGGTTATAACAGCAGATAACTTATTATAAACCTCCATCTATCGATTTTCTTACTGCTTTTTTTTTATTTCTATTTTTATTTTTTTTATTTTTTTTTTTTTTTTGTTTTGACGAGCGCAATGTTGGTGTTACGCATTATTCTTTTTTTTGTATAATTAAACGAAGGTATGATATGAGAAAGAAACAGCAACGAGCGTAAAATGGTGGGAAGAAACGAAAATATCGTTGTGGATGCGGGGCGCGGACGAAAGGAAACAAGACGGATTCAAGAAGAAAAGGAACTGCAGACAAGGACGTTCGCTTCTAGACCTTGGCACAGTGCCAATTCGCTCAGTGCCAGGGTCAATGGCTGCTGCTCTCTTCTGCGCCTGCACCAATGGCCGTGACCCGAGTCGAACGACACAATGGCTGCCACTTCGCGTAACTCGCTCCGGTTCGCTCCTAATTGCGATCTTTTAAATAAGTTCGAAAACCCTATTTAATAATAATTATTTGTAAATTAATATTAATTAATAATAAAATACTAATCATTTCATTTCATTTTAATTATGTTTGTCATCTACAACAATTAGCGTAATTAAGAGTGAGATGATGGCTTTAGCATCTATTTATATCTGTTATGAATTGGCATTATAGTGCTTTATTTTGGTCTTAAGTATCAATTCGATCGTTAAATTGTTAATTTAGTAGTAGCGCCATCTGGTATCAAAAGTTAACTTTTATGTCATTAATTTTATTTTATTTTTGTCGTTATGCAGTTCCCGATTGAAAGCGGTTAAGAAAATCAAGATAGAGGACAAAAGTGGATTAGGATTGAAACCAATCAATATTATTCCGTCCAGTTTTAATGCAAGCTTCTTGCAAATAAAATTACCTGCAAGTTTTAATTAACGAATAAAGATTTCTACTAAATACACACACGCACACCCACACATAAAAAGTTGATCTTAAATTATTTCAAGCGCTAGATTATAGAAGTTTCTTACAAGTATATACTCGGAATAGAAAGCAAACATTTATGATAGCATCCACCTCATCTAACATCTTCCATTCTATTTCATTTTATGGCACATTCTTTATTTCCGGTTGAAACCTTTTAACGATAAAACTTTGCTTCCAGGCTACTGTTTTGCTGTAGAATGCAATTTCCTATTCTTAGTAAGTGATTTGCAAGACCTTGTTATCCAAAAAATCCAATCTTCTTCCAATTGGTTTGATTTGTCGTCGGGGCGCGAAAAAAGCTGTTCGTTATTCTAATGGGATTTTGTAATTGAAAAAAAAAAGTTTACGAGTGATTTATTTCCGATAAAAAAAAATTAAATTAATATTCATAAATTTATTATTTATTCCTATTAATACAAATTACTAATTTTATGACGAAAAAAAAAACTCCGAGAAGATTTAGTAAATAAAAAAAAATTGCACTAGTATAAAAGAGCTAGGACCGTATAGGGCGCCAAACGTGATGTTTACTGTATAACAGTATATAGTCATCGGTTTTTCACAGCGAGACGACGTCTAGGCTTTTCACGAAGCAGTAATAGGACAGGCGGGCGCCATGCAGCACGTTCTACTTCCTAGTTTGGCGCCAAAACATTAAAAGTAGGTATAATACTGGCGACTATCAGGTGACGTCCACCTGAACATTNAAATATCCATAATTGCAATTATAAAATTTTAATTATTATTTTTTTAATTATACGAGGAAGATCCCTGCAAGGACGAAAGTCCACTCTGCTCTTATAAAGATAAATATCCAAATAATGAAAATTTCTGGACGAAAAACGGAATAATGATTTCTCATTTATGCCGGAAAACTTGCCAAAAATGTGATATTTAGATCTACATGAATCAAATATTATTATTTATTTACATTATTTTTATTATAAATGACGAATCACAAAGTTTTAAAAATGAATCACATACTTACGTCATCAAAAATTTCGATTACAAATGTTACGAAACGAAAATTCCGGATGACGAATTTTCGGAAGCCGAAAATTCATTTCTAGACGAAAAAGATCGAATTAAAACAATACTTTTACACAATAAATATAGAAGCGAATGCCNTCAAATATTATTATTTATTTACATTATTTTTATTATAAATGACGAATCACAAAGTTTTAAAAATGAATCACATACTTACGTCATCAAAAATTTCGATTACAAATGTTACGAAACGAAAATTCCGGATGACGAATTTTCGGAAGCCGAAAATTCATTTCTAGACGAAAAAGATCGAATTAAAACAATACTTTTACACAATAAATATAGAAGCGAATGCCTTCCATCAGCCGTTAACATGAAATATCTGGTAAGACATTACGAAAAATACGAATAAAATATAGAAGAGTACCACCGCTTGCATATGTTTTTCGTATCCAGAATTGGGACGTTAGGTTGACTTCTATGGCTAATGCTTGGGTGAACATATGCCATTATAAGGAAGAATTGCCGAGTAGAGTATATTATTCGGATGTAGTTCAAAATATATATTATTTCGTGGAAAATATCGATTACCATAGTATGATACGAAGAGAGAAAATTTTATAATTTTTATATTTCGTCTTGTTTAAGGAAAGAAAAATATCAAAATTATATAGCGATAGGCCCGTTTAGTGATAACGTAGTACAGTTTTTGTAAAATTCTTCTTTAAAATTGTTCTTTCGTAAATGATGTGGTCCGAAACTTGGAAATCGGGATGTTCCGTAAATAAGTGTGGGAATAATAAAAGCGTCTTCACTTGCTATTAAAAAATTGCGATATTTTATAATATATATTTTTATTATTAATTGAATTTTAATAATAAAGAAAAATGTTTTTCTTCTTTTCAGATTACGTATCAAGAATTACGCTGTTTATAAAATTAGAATAAGATGTTCTTTATGTAATCACGGTTATCTTTGTCATTCCGGTGTCTGCAGTAAGTCGAAATCTTCATTTAAATCTTGTCAATTTTGCTTCTAAACATTAAGTTGGGAGCAAAGTTATACAATGTAATAAATGTTTTTGTTTAAAATTTTCAGTGCAAAGATTTAAATACATGGAAATACAACCAAAATAAGCATTAACAAGAAACTTTTTTGATATTAAATTATAAAAATACAATGGTGGGAAGCCGAAGAAAGATGTATCTTACTTTTTCACTGAACATTTTAAATTTTATTGATCTTTACAAAGAAACTCTTTCTATATTGATATGTATGACTATTATGGTAAATGAAAACGATTCCAGCACTCTCGTTTTAAATTTTGTTGAGTATAAAAGACACTTTCAATGTTGGTATGTATAGTGTTTATTGAAGATCGAGAGTTGAGCAGAAATGAAGATATATTGAGTTAAGATCTAAATCAATTTTCTTTATCTCTCTCCCTAAAAGCGATACTTATCCGAAAAGAAAAAGATAATTTGTCGGAAAACTTCGGGATTACAGTTTTTCTTATCGCTGTTTTCGATTAAAAGTTAATTTTTTATTTGTTCTTCTATTTGTTAAAGTAGTTTACCGGAAACTTTTTCACATTTATTTTTTAAATCATTGATTATGCATATTATAGTTGTCATTCTGCTGCATAATGTTGCAAAATTTGAGATTTTAAGAAAATAAGAAGCTCGATTAATTAATTTGTTATACACAAATATTGTCGATACAGAATAAATGATTAATTCTATAAAAGATAAAATATAAACTTTAATTTCCGTCTTAATCTTTACGAAATTATTCGTGCATTCTGTATTAATGATGGAAATTAATTTAAAGATAATAAATTATATTTTAAATGCTTCGGGTATTTTAAAATGATTTAAATTCAATTGCTGTTGTTAAATTAAATGTTTACATCTAAAATTCATCGTACTTTGATGATATTTTAGCAAACATTCTATTCGAGATTATTATTATTTCTGGAAAGATTAAAGATGAAATGAAATTTTAATTATTATTTTTTTAATTATACGAGGAAGATCCCTGCAAGGACGAAAGTCCACTCTGCTCTTATAAAGATAAATATCCAAATAATGAAAATTTCTGGACGAAAAACGGAATAATGATTTCTCATTTATGCCGGAAAACTTGCCAAAAATGTGATATTTAGATCTATCCTTAAACAATAACTTCTTTTTTATCTTGAAAAATTCAGGAAAAAAAATGTTTATTATTTATCGTATTTTCGTTCCAAATTCACAATTTATTTTGTTATTTTCAATTAATTATTCTTTGAATTATTTGTATTGACAAATAAGTATTAAAATTACCGAGTTGAATGAACTTTAATTATATAAAATAAATTATATATTTTAAAACATATCAATGCTTAAATTTTATTGAATAATTTAAAATATTTGACAATATATTGCAATTTTACAGTAATATAACTTAATTTTTATATATTTCAATAATCTTTCTCTGGTAATTTCTTTGCTAAATTTAGTTTGAAGTGAACTGATTATGTAAAATATAATATATATGTGCTCTGTCGGCTTCAAATTATTATTATTATTATTATTATTAAATAATTAGAAACTGCTTTAAAAAAATGAAAAATTTAACACAATAA